CAACGGAGTCAAGCTAGCCGTTACACCCGACACACCGGAAAAGAAGCGGGTACCTTCAAAGTAAAAGCTTTAATATTCCATCTGTTGCAAAGATGGGATCATCAGGTCAATAAGTTTGATCAATTCATTAACAAATCATACTGAGAAGAATGACACAGAAACAACAAAAAGGTTTCATTTATGCCCATAATATAGATTGCAGCATCAAAAGATAGATGGACAGATCCGTCACTCACTCATCACAGTGCTGGCAAAAAAATATACATTCTAAATTTAATTACGGAAGAGGATTAGGGCAACTGAAAAAATTAAAAAGTGAACTGATTTTTTAATTTCATTTCAGTTTAATATTGGAAAAAAAAGTCAGAATACTGACTTTAATCTTAGAATTCTGAGATTTTTTTCTCTGAAATCTAACTTTAATCTCAGAATTCAGTTTTTTTTTATCAGAATTCTGATTTTTTTTCTCGGAATTCTGACTTTAATCTCAGAATCCTGCCTTTTTATCAGAATTCTAACTTTAATCTCAGAATTCTGTTTGTTTGTTTTTTATCAGAATTCAGATTTTTTTTCCCCCTCAGACTTTTGACTTTAATCTCAGAATTCTGACTTTTTTCTTAGAATTCTTGACTTTAATCTCAGAATTCTGACTTTTTTTCTCAGAAATCTAACTTTAATCTCAGAACTCTGTTTTGTTTTGTTTTAGCAGAATTTAGATTATTTTTTTTCACGGAATTCTGACTTTAATCTCAGAATTCAGATTTTTTTTCTCTGAATTTTGACTTTAATCTCAGAATGTTGAATATAATCTCAGAATCTTGGATTTTAATGTGGATGGTTCCCCATGAAGGAAGAGACTCATAGTGCCCATCTTTGTCAGCTTCACTGACAAAGATGTGAGTTGTTTGGGAGGGCCAGTAACACATTGGTGGAAAATTATGGAATCAGGCAATTTTGTACATGCCAGAGGGGTCCCCGGTGATGCTATTTTATTAATGGAACAGCAGAAGGTAATTAAAACAAGAGAGCTAGTCTCTAAAACAGACATGGCTACGGCTTGATGCTAACATGCTTGTTAAATGTCAGAATTCTGAGAAAAAAGTCAGAATTCTGAGATTAAATTTAGAATTCTGACTCTTCCCATATTAAACTGAAATATTTAAAATGGGTTAACTTTTTTACATTTTTTTTAGTGGCCCCAATCCTCTTCAGTAGTCAATCGTATAAAAACAGACATAGAGTAATTAAAAAAAGGGATAGCAAAATAGCAAGAACATTATTTTTTTATTTCAATGAATAGTTACCTGAAACTAGTTAAAAAATATCAAATTTTATTTTGAATAATTAGGTTTTAAAACTTTGCTAAAGTAACTTAATGCAAAATTTCTATATAAAGAAATATAATATGTTATAGTACTTTGTTCCTCCTCAATATTTCACCCTCTCTTTAAAAACTGCGCTGTCATGCCTTTGTGGCTGCAAAGTTATTAATTGCATCTCTATAAAAATCTGATTTCACACTAATCACTGTCAGTTCAGTTTTTTCTGAAGATCCACTGAAGATCTCAAATAGTACGTGGAAAGCTCCAGTGAAAAGGCAAGTGTCGGCCATCTGTAGAACTATCCAAAGATTTCTGTACAACTCTTAGATCTTAGACCCTGTTTACACTGAAGGCAAATGTGCCCCAAATCACAGCCTTTTCTTTTTTTTTTTTTCATTCATTTTTCATCGATATGTGGCCCTGAATCCGACTCGCATCTGATCTTTTGGATCATGACTACAGTGAGATTGACTGATGCGGATTAGATGTGACTTCAAAACCACTTTCAAACATGTTTGTGACAAATGTGCTTCACCCAGCAGTTTTCGACACAGAGAGAAGTTGGGAGAGTAAAACTGCAAACACTTATTTAACAATTAGGAACAATTTTCCTGAAAAATGTGTAATTCCCTTAATTTAAGCAGCTGATAAGATCATTAGATAAAATACAATTTAAATAAGGTAATGGAGGGTTTTTTGTCTTATTTTAAGTGTAAATTATCTTATTCAATTTGGAAATATTCTTTCTTACTTGGTAAAATCAAGTTGGATTGTTTCACAAAAAACCCTCATATTTCAGTTTTTGCAATGATGCACAGCGGAGATAAAGAAGACCTTAGAGCACATTAATAAATGGTTAAAACTTAATTTAGACCTAACTGGAAGGCTTTTAGGAACCGTAAGGATATACAGAGGCTTTACTCTCCTTCTATTTATGCGTTTCACACACAGCACCTGCTGACAGAATAACAGGCTCCTGTTTTTGTGCTGTGTGTGACAATATATTGTTTACATGAACACGCGGGTCAGTTTGGATCTGCAAACGGTTCAATATGAAGTCAGATGCAGGCAATATTTTCAAAGGTAAACAGAAAAACCACACAACAAAAAATCTGATTCCTAAAAAATGTGAAGTTGAGAATTAAGACCTGCAGTGAAAACAAGGAAAGTAGAGCATTTAGAAGATTTGGGAAGTTGTACACAGCAAAAAGTCAAGAGTTGATTTAACTGTGACAGAGTTAATTTTAGCACTTTTTCAGGGTTAATACATGTTCACACTCTTAAGAGTTAAATTGAAACTATTGAAATAGTTAAATTTTTAACACTCTAACAGAGTTCCTTTTTTAACTCACAAGGGAGAGTAAAATTAAGTCTGTGTGGACATAACAGTTAACACTGATCCAAGGACAAATATTAACTCCTTTGTTAGAGTTGATTTAACATATTCAAGTGTTATCTACTAAAAAAATTAGTCACTATATGACTGGTAAATCATAATAAAACAAAATTAAAAACAAATCCATTTTAGATGCTTTATTTTTCCAGTTGTTTTCATTTTTTTCTAACACACTTAATCCCAAGTGGGGTCGCGAGGGGTGCTGGTGCCTATCTCCAGCTGTCTGAGGGCGATAGGCGGGGTACATCCTGGACAGGTAGCCAGTCCATCGCAGGGCAACACAGAGACAAACATGGCAAACAACCAAACAAACACACACTCACACCTGAGGAGAATTTAGAACAGTCTTGTTTTTTTTGTTTTTTTGGACAATCGGAGGAAGCCGGAGTACCCTGAGAGAACCCACGCATGCTCAGGGAGAACATGCAGAAAGACCCCGGGCCGGGAATCGAACCCAGGACCTTCTTGCTGCAATGCAGCCCACTCGTCAGAAACTCCATAGGATTTCTGACTATCAAATGGCTTATAAAATTTAAAATCTGTGATTTTTAGTGTTACAGTTTCTGACACATAAAGCATGTCAACATTTTTAGCTAGACTTACTCACAGGAGAGTAGATTCAACACTGACCCAATCAACTCCTGGACATAACTCGAACACTGAGCACCATTTAAATCTCTAAGTGTTAAAATAACATTTACTGAGTTAAATTCAACTCTGAAACCTTTTACTCTGGAATTTTAACTCTTTAGTTTTTGCTGTGTAGAAGGTTTTCGATATCGGTAGAAGTGCGCTGCCATAAGTCTGTTCTCCAAATGTATGATTGTCTCAGAGAACTTAAAACTGGTTATTCCTCATTTGCGCATTACAAGGACCCTACAAAGACCACTGATTTTTTTATTTTATTTCATCTATAAATATTGATTTATAAATGATCAAATTTATGTTATTGCGGGGGAAAAAAATACAGTTTTACATGAAACAGTTTGTTTTCATTACTATAACCTCATATTAATCATTAAACACATAAAAAACATACATGCAGACTTTTAACTTGATTTTAGGGGGCCACTAGTTGCCCTAGGGGCATAAGCAGCTGCTTAGTGTGCCTATGACTTGAGCTGGCCTTGAGGCTCCCTAACACAGTTTTTGACTTTAATGAGGGTATCGAGTCATTTAAGTCGAGCCAAAAGTCTGTTCTAATATAGAGTCTGAAGTCGTCCAATCAAAGTCTACAGCTCTGTTTCATTCCACAATAAATATTTTAACCATTACATTTGTAAAAATTATTTAAAAACATCAACATCATTAAAAATAATATATTAAAACGATTTTTTTCTAGTTTATTCTGGCTTTGAAAGCAACAAATGTTCATTAAATGTAATTTTCTGCCAACAGGTGAACAGGGATGGGCAGATGAAGGGTTGAATTAATGGATGGATGAATTAATGCAAGGGTGGGCAGGCTGATGGGTGGATTAAGGTATTGTGGTAACTAGGTGAATCGATTCAATGAAACCAAAGAAAAAAGGAAACTGACTGAAGAAACCTTTTGGTTGCAGAAATGATAAAATCTCTGTATGATCGTCAACAGATCTATTCTGTACGGAGCCCCTCTGATGACATGGTCAAAAAAATTTTTAATTGTGGCCACGAAGTTTTTTGACCATGTCATCAGAGGGGCTCCGTAATTCTGCTCTTTCAAATGAAATATTTTAAACCTCTTCTTTTTTTAACATTTGTTCAAAAAGGTGAGAAAACCTCAAACATTTTTGGTTTTCTAGAAATTCTGTTTCTACAGTTTTAGTCTGAATGTAAACTAATCTTTTGCTCACAACAAACAAAATTGATAAATGTCAAAAGAAAAAAACAGTTACTTGCAATAAATAAATAAATAATAAGAAGAATCTTATTCTTAATTGTTTAAGGAGGCAGGAATGTTTATCCTGTAGCTGCAGGGTTGCCGGTTTGAGCCCTAGTTTTATCCGTCTCTGTAGTGGGGAGGCCAAGCTTTGGTCAGTGTGCCCCAGTGTAGCTGTGGCTAATGTAGCTCACCACCATCAGCGTATAAATGACTGAATGCAGTGTGAAGAGCTTTGACTTTACAAAGTGCTACACAAGTACAAACAATGACGGTCTGTAAAACATTTACGTATAAAAATCATGAGATGTGCTGTATTTTGGTTTATTTCTGGTCAATACAAATATTTCAATTAAACAAATAAAAAAAGACATTCTTAAATTATTAAAAGAATACAGAAGGATGGTTGAGCAAGCTCCTTTTATTAAAAAAGGCTTTTATATTACTAAAAAATAAATTAAAGTATATC